CGTGGCCCCGCCCCCAGCGTGCCCGGCGTCATAATGTCACTTCCTGTCATAATGTCACTTCCATAATGTCACCCCACGCTGGGGTGGGGTTCCCCCCGGGGACCGATCCGCCACCAGTGGGGAACAGGCCTCTGGGGGGAGGTTTCCCCACCCTCCGGGGGGACTTGGCAGCCCTACTTTGGATGCAAAATGTCATGCCGCTGCTAGCTCCCATATGTGTGGCCTATGTCTCACTTGAGATTAAAGTGGAGATTACACTCTGTATATCTTGGAGCAAGTGAATGGCCATTTTTCCATTCACCTGCAGGCAGTTTACCAGAATCCTATTCACAGTCCCCTTAGTCACCTATAGTGTATCCCGTAAACTCAGTCTCTCAAGAGGACGAGTTCACTCCCCTTTATTTCAATTGCTTCTTATGAGTACTGTTTGCTTATTAGAGAATGTTCTGTTTACGGGGGGCGCAGTCATATTTTTTATTTATTATAGATGGTGCTGATTGAGGGGTTTCTGCTTTTTTAGTTTTTGCCTGTGGAAGCAGAAGAGCCCTTCTTCCTGTTAGTCAGGAGATGACTGTGTCTTCTGGTCAGGATGAGGTACTCTTCCAGTAGGTACATATGGAAAAAAATTGTCCCTTTATGACTTGAAGAGTTTGCCTTAAATAGCATCTGGATTGCGAAGTAGAGTACAGTTTTTCTTCCTTAAGTTAAAACTTATATTGACTTTTTCTCCTATCAGTATTATACTAGAATTTGCTTTCTTTTAGTAGTAATATTTTAAAAGCAACATGACTCCAGAATAATTCCAAAAAATATAGTTCTAAACTTTTAAAAAGTTAATAGGTAATTAGATAATTGCATAAGTAATTTCAGATTGGCAGATCACAAAATTTGTTTCATTTTCAAATAATTGAGTTCTGCTTGTTAAAATGATGTTTCTAGGGAAGAATTTAATCAGCACTTTAGGAATACCAGTGTACTGTCTACCAGAGGATAAGAAAGGCATTTGGTTAGATATTTTTGTTTAATTGAACTGATGGGTTGCCTGCTCTGGTTGCCATTTTTCCACTTGAACTGAATTATTTTCTTGTAAGCTTATTTGCAACTATTAATGTATTGCTAGAATTGTGTTCTGGCAGCAAATGACTTGTTTACAGCACCATAGAGAGTGTTTTCTTTTTAAATGTGAGGCAAGTTTGTATGTCTCCGCTGAGTGTTCCAGTGCTCCCAGTCATGTGCTGCCATTTACAGATGAATATTATCTCCCTTATCTGAATCCTTCACTAGCATTACTAACAGAAACACCATGATCATTGCTTCCACATTGCTGGCACTTTGGACCTTTTCACAGAAAACAACATTTCCTACACCAGTGTTGCATGACTTCTGTGTACTGTTTCACATTTATGATGAACATGTGTAGGCTCATTTCATCATACGATTATATACTTGTGACTTGTAGATATCTGCTGTGTGTTGTTAGCCATCAATTATATTATTTATACATGTATACTTATAAATGCCAAACCTAATTCAAACATTCATTTCTGTTCTACTTAGAGTCTATCATAAGACCACGAAATAGAATCAGTGTGTGGATTATTTTTTCTTATTAATTCCTATAGCGAAAGTAAAGCATTGCACTTGGTATCACATTGCAGAGGAGCAGAACCCAAGTCTAATGACATTGATTAGTCAGGCTTCCAGTAATAAGGACAACAGCAATAGGAAGTAATGTTATTCCTTTCCCTTCCACAAGCAGCTTCAGGGTTGTGTAAGACTGGAAAATAGCTTTTGAATTCTTCTGTTTCCTTAAATCAGGAGATGGGAGGAGCAAATGCAGCAGCTGTATTGAGAGTGGACTGTGTTTAGTTTGAAAAACAAGGTCTGGGCCAGGTTTTCAAATTTAGGTTTACTCTTGCTCCACCCATAGCAATTGTTTTTTTCCAATAGTTTCCCATTTCAATAGTCTCCCATTTGTCAGGCTCAGTGAATCTTTGGTCTAGTAGTATAACATAATAGTTTCTGGCTGCACACATAGGGTCAGATCCTGTGATATCTCAGCTCCGTCTAAGCTGTGGGGTCTTTTGGGCAAAAATTCTACTTTATGAGCTACTGGCATTAAAGTTGTGCATGAGCGATTTGGCTACTGCATAAATTATTTTGCTCTGGATCCATCCTTCCTGAGTTAAGACAAAAATGTGTGAGCCAGAGGCTAAAAAACTGTGAGCTAGCTCACACTAACTCAGCTTAGAAGGAGCACTGGTGCTGATGGTCACAGATCCAACCCACATTCCTTCCTTCTAGTCAGGGGTCTTTTTGTAGAAAAAGAGGTGCAGGAACTCATTAGCATAACTCATTAGCATATGCCACACCCCTGACATCACCAGAAGTGTCAGAAGGCCACACCCCCTGACATCACCGGAAGTGTGTCAGAAGTCAGCACCCACTGCTCCGGCTCCCCTGGACTGTTTTGGATTGCTAGCTATGAGGGCAGGGGGAGAAATCAGCCCTCACAGAAGAGGGAGAGATTGTACCTGAATAAAACTTGGTCTTAAAGGTGCCACTGAACTGTTTTGGTTTACTGGCTATGGGGGGGGGGAAAGAGCAGACCCCCCGCCCCCGCCAGCCATGGTGTGGCACCCAAAGTGCCCGCGGCTTACCCCCCGTCCTTGGAAAAGCCCCCGCCAGCCACACCGCGGCTTAGAAACCATGGGTTCTAATCCAAACAATCCATTGGAAAGTGTATATACAGTTCCTGATATCTGTTTCTCTGATGGATGATATAAAATATTAGTAATCAGTAAACATATTTTTTACTGGTCAAATATCATGTTGTGATATGCATGACAACAACCTTAGGGAAAATAATTTTTCTCCCTGCAGGGGCCTTAAATTTACTTAGTCTCTCAATGGTTCATGTTAGTGTTACACCAACAGAAGAATTATAAGGCCATTAGTGCAGATGGTAAAAACAAAGAGCCTGCTTTGCATTCACCTAAGTACATTAACACCAGAAGTACACAATGCTTAAATCAAACCATTATATTTTATGTATTTTATTAGTATTATGTTGAGGCCAGTGTTTAACTAGGAAGTTCATACTTAGAGAAAATTAGTAAATCTGTATTCTCTTTCATAAGAGACCCTGTTTTGTGGGAAATCTCTCTTAGCTATACAGGAAGTCTGTTTTATTTGTTAAAGAGTCACCATACACTATTCAACATATTAGCTCTTTATAGTAAGATTTATCATTACAGGTTTAAGACCTTTAATGTGTTCAATTAGTGATCAAATTAATGACTGGGCTTCCACAGCCACTGAAGATTTCATGTAAATGAGATCTATCTGGCATAATTATTTAAGTACTTTCTCAGTATGACATACACATACTTCCTTTCTACTGTGATCCTCTGTAGGGGCTTGTGCATCTGTAACATTTCTCTGCTTTTCAAAAATACAGTTGCTATTTCAGATGTTTTTTGGAGTCCATTTGATATATTATCTGTACATTTTTCTAGGCAGTATGAACATTACCATTTTTCCAGGTTATCCCAAAGAATGTAATGTGTTATTGGAATATTCTGTAGCTGTTCTGATTCTTGCTTCTTCCTCCCATCTCTTTACATAAGATAAGGAATAGACCTTGAATTTCTATGTTCACTCTACTCAGTAACAGTCCAGGAGAGCCCTCATTTTTTCTGGGGTTTATACAGTGGGAGGGGTGGGAACTCCTTCGCCGGGCAGAAGTTACATATCAGGTGGCTAGGTTCGGATGGCTTGCCCTAAAAATGAGAAAATCTATAGTAGCTTGAAAAGAGAAGAATTAAGATTAAGTTTTATTAATTTTAACCATTATGGTGTTTTTTATAACCAGTCTTAAAATTCTGTTCCTATTTTAATGTGATATCTTTTACCCATGTTACAAAATGTCATCGTTTTATGTGTTGGTCAATGACCATGAATAAGACTTATCTACCTTAGGCTGGCTGGCAGGGCAAGCCCCCCCCCCCAACAGCGGCCATTGGTGGCCACCCCTTTCCCTCCCCTCCTGCAAGATTTAAAGGGCCCTCCAGCTATGACATCTAGCAATCTTTGAGTAGAAGGTACTGATGGATTCAGATGGTTTGTTTGTTCTGCTTCCCTCAACAGTTCTGTCCAACCATAAAGAAAATTGATTCCTGGACTGCAAGGCCCATGTGGACTAAGCACTTGGAGGATATAGTGTGGAGGGGGAAGGAGATTAAATTGTCCAACAGAGCTGCTGTGATACAATAGGGAGTAGAGGTTGATTATACTCCTTTACCTTTCCTTAACACAGCCTACATAATCCACATGGGTCCTGCAACTGCAAGAATCAGCTTTTTCAGGATCAGAACAGGAGGTGACTAAATATGAAGCACATGCGTCTGGCTCTGGCTTTGCCGAGGTTTGGCTCATTATACTGGATTATTTGTCAAAAATTGAAGTGGTGCTGAAAAACCTGAAATCCTTAATTTCTGTTGGGTGTTTCTCCAGTGGGTGGTCTGTATAGTTTATGGCTGGTGTATTGGGTGGTAATTACTGATAATGGTAAGTTTCAATTGTTTAGGTATTGCTGGTTACATTAGTTTGTGTAATATAGTTTGTTTTAATTTAAGTAGTTTTATATTATTCTGTATTTTGTATTATATCTATTTAATAGATTTGCTGTGTAATAATTATTTCATTACATCTATATTGACTTTCATGATGATTTGTTTGTTTGTAAAATTTCAAAAAATGTTTAATAATAAGAAGAAGAACAGGAGTGGAACAAGGAAAAGAGCCATAATCCTTAAATTAAATTGATGTGAATTGGTGTAAATGGTGGTTAGCATAAATAAGAAACTTAAACCAAAAATGAGTACCAGTTATACATTATCATCATCATATAAAGTAAGTGTATATGTTAAAAGTGTATTGCATTGCATACATTTACTTGGAATTTATTATTGTTGTTTCTATTGTTTGTTTTGTGGCAGATGTCATGTACTTCCCTCCGAAGATTCTAGCAAGCGTTGGAACTAATGTTTCCTTTTATTGTATTTACAAAAACAAGAACAAAATAATCTCATCCAAGAAGATAGTTTGGTGGTTAAATTTAGCAAACGAAGTTCCAAGAAGTCAGTATACACTTGTGAATGATTTTGTTGGAAAAGTTACGCTTATTAATTTAGATGCAATGAAACCTGGTGGAAATTTCCTCTTTAATGCCTTATACTGTTGTAATGAAAACAGAGAATGTAATCACCGTTATGCAGAATTATATATAATAGGTAAGATACCCGTTCTTTTAAAATAGTTTTTGGTAAATGCTTTAATCTCAGTTTTTTCTGTTAATTAATGAAATATGTTTCAAATAGATGTTAATATCAACATCACATGTGAAACATATGGGAACTTACAAAAAATGACATGCAGATGGTCCACCAGCACAGACCCGCTGCTTTCTGAAAGCACTTTGCTGTTAAGATACTACAGGTATGTATTTTGATGACATTTTATTAAAGGATGCTTTGTTGTTGTTCAGTCACACAGTTGAGTCCAACTCTTTGTGACCCCATGGACCACATCATGCCAAGCCCTCTTGTCTTCTGTCATTCTTTGGAGTTTGCTCAATAAAGAATGCTATAGTGGTTTAAAGCAGAGATGGATTGTACAGCAGGGTTGTACACATAGGTCACTGACTTCAGTTGAATTAGAAAGGTATAACTGTGCTTAGAATTGGAATGCTGATAAAGGAACCATTACATTTGGATTTGAACCAGCACAAAATTGGATCTGCACCAGGACGAGGCATGAGATGGCCAAAGTTAGGTGAGCTTAGAAATGTAAACCATTGATGAAATCACCCCCCAGTGCCCTCTGTGATCTCATACCATCCTAGCCCTGTGGTATAACCCAGGGCTATGGAGGATGAAACAAGAGCTGAGACAGCTAGAGTGAGGGTGGCAGCAGGCTCATGATGAAGCCATGAAAACATCTTATAGGATGTTTTTGAAAGCCTATGAGATGGCAGTGAAGGCAGCTAAGAAGGGTTTTTTTTGCAGCCTCCATTGCATTTGCAAGCTCTCATCCAGCCCCATTATTCAGAACAATTCAGTCTTTAACAACCTTGCTCAAAGCAAGCAAAAAACAGGGAATTGACTATTGGCTGTGAGGCATTTGCGAGCTACTTTGCAAAGTCTTGGCACTCTGCCAGGACCTCCCGTCCACAGTTGATACAGTAAGGGAACTGGAAGCCCCTTGTCTGTTTCTGCTCTGGTTTCAATTCAGCCTGCTCTCCCAGGAGGAAGGTGACAGGATTCTGGTAGCTGTGAGGTCTACCACTTACCTCCTGGACCCGTGCATGTCTTGGCTGGTCAAGGCCTGTGGGGACAGTGTTCAGGCACCCCTGGGAGATATTGTTAACTTATCCCTGTCCTGAGGGATATTCCCAGTAGGGTTGAAGGAGTCAGTGGTACATCCACTCTTGAAAAAGCCATAATTGGACCCTGCAGTCCTTGCCAATTATCATCTAGTTTCCAATTTGCCATTTCTGCATAATGTGGTTGAGAGAGTAGTGGCTGAGCAGCTCCAGGCTTTCTTGGATGATGCTTCCATCCTGGATCCCTTCCAGTCCAGCTTCTGCCCTCACCCTCACAGATGACATCCCCAGACACCTGGACTGAGGTGGGTCAGCACTGTTGTTGGATCTGACAGTGATGTTCAACACGGTTGATTACAATTTCTTCACCCAGCACCTCACCAATGTAGGGATATGGGAGACTGCTATACAATGGCTTTCCTCCTTTCTCCATGGTTGGGGACAGAGGGTGGCACTCCGGGAGAGAGTGTCTCTGTGATATCTGCTGGAATGTGGAGTGCTGCAGGGAGCAATTCTCTGTCCGAGGTTAACATCTGTATGTGCCCCTTGCCCAGTTGGTCTGGTGGTTTGGGCTGGGTTGTCACCAGGATTGAGAATTCCGCTCCTGACACTTGGTGGGGTGCCTTTGATGCCAGCACCAAGGGCGAAGAGCCTTGGGATGATCCTGAAAGCCTCTCTTTCAATGGAGTCCCAGGTCGCCACTGTTGCCCAGGTCTGCCTTTTATCGTCTATGGCAGGTCAAGCAACTTGTTCCCTATCTCTCCCCCTGGGACTTAGCTACAGTGATCATTGCAACAGTCACTTCCAGGCTGAATTACTGTAACTCGCTGTATGTGGGGCTGCCCTTGAACCTGTCCTGTAAACTCCAGCTAGTGCAGAATGCAGCGGTGCACTTACTGACAGCGACGCGTGTGTGGGCATACATTTAGCCGGTGCTACGCCAAATGCACTGGCTACCAGTTGAGTACTGGATCCACTTCAAGGTTTTGGTGCTGACCTTTAAAGCCCTACGCAGCTTGGGGCCAGCATACCTTCAGAACCGTCTCTCCCCATATATGCCCTGGAGAGCCTTGCACTCTGCAGACCATCTACTGGTAGTCCCTGGCCTGAGCTGACATGTTCATCTCCATACTTAAATGCATCCAACCGTTCTTTTTTTCCCCAGCTCTACCGAAGCAGAGCCTCCAAAAATTGATAAAATTAAGTGTGATCCACTGCGAGGAAATCGATGCAACTCCGTATTGTATGGGGTTGGCGTGATCTGGTCCATCAACAGTTCTGAAATTACCATGATGTATCCCATGAGCATATGCTGAAAAAGGCAGAGTATGAAGAACAGTTACATTTCATTGTTCTTTTCTTTGATTGAGGGAAAGAACAAAGTTTGAGTTCAGTGGCACCTTTAAGACCAACAAAATTTTATTCAAGGTATAAGCTTTCGTGTGCAAATACTCTTCCTCAGATACAGTCAACCAGAATTTCCTCAACCATTTAGGGAAGTTTAAGAACCTTTGTTGTCCTTTATTGTAACAGCATTTCCTACTAGCAGATGATTTCATCAATGAACAAAAGTCAAACAGTGGATATAGTGTTTGTGTTTGAAAAATACGGGTTCATTATATTAATTATAATTAATTATAATTTAACATTAATAATATTTTAACTGAATATTTATTGTATTTATTGGCTTTTAATTATTTCATTGTATTTCATTGTGTTTTAGCATAAACCACCTTGGAAACTTTTTAGTAGAAAGGTAGTCTATAACCAAATTATGTTACACACATACACACATGTATCTTGTTTTGTTTGTGCACACAGCACACACAGATATGAAAGGATACAGCTTCTAATAAGAGCCATGGTATGAGTTAAGCTAGTTTTTTTAGAAGGCTGGAAATATGAGGGGGACACAGCAATATGGCTGGTTAATATTTAGAAATGTTTAAAAATAGGGATATTCTGACAATCATTGGGTTTCTGCAGTCGAGCCTCACTTGTGCTAATATTTCAGGAGACGGACTTTGGAAGATCAGCCCTTTAAGTTTTGAAAGGCAACATGGAGAAGCCCTGCATGAAATATATCCAGAACTGCTGCCTGATGAAAGACACAAAGCTCAGGGCAAGGATTAGTTCCCTAGACCAGACGATGGTCTCCATGCCTCTCAGTCCTGAATTTCTAAAACGATCCATGCTGGAACTCAAGAAGGGTTCATCTTTACTGAAGAAAAGTCTCTTAGTTCAATCCTAAGAGTACTTTCCGGGGAGTAAGCTGCATTCAGTAGATCTGAGTAGGATTCTAAGTAGACCTGCCTAGGATTGCTCACTAAATCTTTTAGACACTTCTTCCCCAACTCCATGCCTCCACCATTCACTATCAATCTGCTCTATATAAAATTAAAATTAAAGGTGTGGGCGTTCTTTCACATCAAGGACTGGTAGTTGAATCCCTCATCTCAAGCATTTTGGAGGCTATATCTGCTGACACTGTGGCCGAGTTCAGACTGACAGTTTGGCCCGGCAGCCAAACGTTTCAGGAGCATTTCAGTAGCGGATTAAAGGGGCGGGTTCACACAGGCACATCTGTCAGGCGTCCCCCAGCGATACTCAAACTGTCTTGTGCTGCTTCCCTCCCAAGTTTAAAAAGTACCAGGTGAAAGTGGTAGCAAACCGTGTGTAGAGCAGGTTGATTCCGGTTCCCTGACGTGTGAACACAAGTGCTGCTAAGGCGGGAACAACCCGCAGTTGTTGATAATACGCGCTGGCTGTTTCTGCGGCAGGCACCCATGTACCCATGCGCATAAGCACATGTAGCGGAGTGCAGAAACAGCCGCTAACAACCCGCCAGGGGCAGGCCGACAGTGCAAACGTTCCCTTGCGCTTCCTCCACGGTATCCTCCCACTTCATTCGCTGCAGTGTGAACGGGAATACTGCGAACAAGCCTTTCCCGGTCTTTTCCGGGTCTTCTTTGCCACAACTCCCTAGCGCTTCAAATTGCCAGTCTGAACTCAGCCTGTGAGTCTCTAATACAAGGAGAGTGGAAACTGATTGTAGTAGTTAGTGGTGAAAGTAAGGCACTTTATACTTTCTCATGAAAGATTCTGAAGCTTGCAGGCAAATAAAAATTCTAGGAAAAATATAGTTGTGTATACCTTTTATCAGCCAAAATAGCTATAACATCTACATGAAACCACTGTTTGAGATCATCCAGAGATTTGGGCTGGGCTGTCAGCAATATGCAGATGACACTCAGCTCTATCTTATGCATCCAGCTGATCCCAGGAAGACTGTAGAAACCCTGAACCGGTGGCTGGAAGCAGTTTTGGAGTGGATGTGGGCTAATTAATTGAAACTTAATTTCAACAAGACTGAAGTACTACTGGTGGGCAGAAGGTCTGACCTGGGATTTAAGGTGTCCCCTGTTTTGGATGGCGTTGCATTGCCCTTGAAGGAACAGGTTTGTAATCTGGGGGTGCGCTTGGACTGAGGCCTGCTGTTGGATATGCAGGTGGCAGCTGTGGCCTGGAGTGCCTTTTACCAGCTTTGACTGGTTAGTCAGCTGCGGTCTTCTTGAGCAGAAAATATCTGGCCACCGTGGTGCATGCCCTGGTTACTTCCATGTGTATCTTCATGTGGCTGCCCTTGAGAAGTGTTCGGAAACTTCAGTTGGTTCAGGACGCTGTAGCCAGGATGTTGACTGGAGTGGGTTGCAGGGACCATATTACTGCAGTCTTGGCCCATCTATGCTGGCTCTAATCTGTTTCCAGGCACAAAGGGCTGGTGTTGACCTTTTTATGCCATTTATAGCTTGGGACCAGCTAACTGAAAGACTGCCTACTCCCTTACAAATGCACACAACCACTATGATCATTTTTGAAGGCCCTGTTTTGGGTGTCCCAGTCTTCTGAGATTAGGTGGGTGCAGGGGTCATTTTGTAGAAAAAGAGGTGCAGGAGCTCATTAGCATAACTCATTAGCATACCTTATTTGCATATGCCACACCCCCTGACATCACCGGAAGTGTGTCAGAAGGCAATACCCACCGCTCAGGCTCCACTGGACTGATTTAGATTGCTAGCTATTGGGGGGGGGGGAACGTGCAGATCTGTCCTTGCAGAGGAGGGAGAGCTTGTACCTGAATAAAGCTTGGTCTTAAAGGTGCCACTGGACTGTTTTGGACCGGGGGGCTGGGGGGAGCTCTGCAACTTACCTGGCTCCTTCTTGCTCTGACTGAGGGCTGCTGAGAGCAGGGGGTGGGGTTTGTTGCATGTGTCCACCTCCTGAAATCTTTACTGCCGGAGCTCCGCTCCTGTGCGCTCCTGCAGGAAATGACCCCTGGGTGAGTGACAACCTGGCAGAGGACCTTCACAGTCACATCACCAAAACTCTGGAACTCTCTCCCTAGGGAAGTTCATCTGTCACCTACTTTTTCTGTCTTCTGCCAGCAGGTGAAGGCTTTTTTGTTTTGTTTGTTATTCCCTCAATGATCCCTTCTTCCTAACCAATGTTTTAATTGCTGTTTTTATGTTTTGTATGAATTTTAACTCTTTTGAATTGTTTTACTGATGTGTGTTTGGGGGGTTGATTTTAATGGTTTTAAAATGTGATTTTGTCATGTATGTTTAAAATGTTAGCTGCCTTGGCTGGCCTTTTAAGGGCAGAAAGGCAGGTGTCAGGTTCTGGGTGCCCACCCTCAGCTGCGTCACTTGTCGCTTCTCACTCCTCCATGCTGGGAGTGTCTCCTCAGGCTTCAGAACAGCTAGTTCAGAGGGAGGGGGCTTTCAGCACCATCAGCCTCCTCCCAGTGCTCTGTTTCTTTCCCTCTTGAGGAGACCTGGGCATCCAGCAAGCTCTCCTTCTCAGCCTTCACAGGAGACTCCCCCTTTAACCCATCCCCTCACCCTGCCCTCCTCCCCAGCCCTGTCAGTGAGCTGTGCATCAGCTTGAACTTCATTGGAACCCTCTGGAACTCCGCCCCCTCTGAGTGTTATTCCTGCCCTTGGGCCCGATGGCAGTTTCAGCTGCCAGCCTGCCTCTGGCTCACCCCACCTTCACGCTGGTTGGTTGGCTGTCATCCGAGGTCCACCACTTCTGGGTGCTTCCTGCATTTCGGTCTCCAGGCCTGGCACCCGGTGGGTCTTCTGCCTCCTTGCCATGTCTGGTCCCATCACTGATGGCTGCCTGGGTACTCCCTGTCCCTTTGCCATGTCTCCTTGCTGATCACTTTGTGTAAGTTGTTGAGGCTCACTGTCACTCCCGGGGTTCTGGTGGCTGTCCTCTCCATGTGAGGGGTTGGGAAGAATGGCCCCGGCAGTGTTGGGGCCAGACAGCAGGATACAAATTTTGTAAATAAGTAAATAATAAATATTGTAAAATAGCAAGCAAGAAGATCACTTAACATGACATGTGAAAGCTAGTATTTCTCATCTTTTTTTACAGTACACATCTTTTGTAGTGATGTATTATGGTGTCAGCATCTTGATGCATATAATTTCATTGCTAAACTGAAAATAATATTTTAATGTCTTTAAAGGAATGATATATATTGTTCAGAGTCTTCTAGCATGCCTTCAAATTCAGAGGTAAAAGAATGCCATTCTCAGAGGAATAATTCTTATGAGTGCATCTTTCAGCCTTTTTACCTTTTATCTGGATACACAATGTGGATAGAAATAAAGCACACATTGGGAACACTTACATCTCAACCAGTGTGTATCCTTCCAAAAGAAGTCGGTAAGTAGAAGCTCTTTTCTAGCAATGTTTCATTGTCTGATTGAAGAGCTTTGTACAAGTCTTTCAATGAATGACCCCATGGTATACACTAACATTTAAAGGTATATATATTTAGAAAGAGAAACAAAAAGAGAGCAAAGGCAACGGAAAAGTATTTTTGTCTTCTCCAAGAGCTAGTGCTTTTGCACCTGTATACTCCTCAGTTTCTAATAGCTTGTGGGAAATGACATTGCCAAGAATGCATGGTTTGAAAAATGGCTTTTTCAAGCTCATTTTATATTAAAAGATATAACTTAAAAGGCAAATGAATTCTCCCCCCACACACGCACTTTGAAGATGCATATAATGCAATGAACCCCAACTCCTCCACAACATTTAACTTTTCTGATTGCTTCTGTAATTCAGACATTAATTTGAAGTTTTCAAATTGTACAAATATTGTCTGCTGCTTTCTAACATAACTGTTTCTGTTCCTTTGCTGCAAGTCTTTATCTTATTATACATTTTGTATATCCTCCTCCAGGCATATTCTTTGTTACTTAAATATCATTTGCTACTTAATTTTTTCAGTCAATGATGGTGCAAGTGTGTAACAGACAGTGATAGCTGATGCTATTAAAATTACATGTACATTAAGAATCACCAGGGCATGCAATAACCAAACATTTAATATAAAGACTTCAATTTTCAGTAGTCCTAATCTTCCTTTCTACTTCAATTTTCACTATTTCTGTGTTGCTTTTACTTGTTACAGTTTCTCTAAAATTATGTGTGTGCATTGTCTGTAATTCTATAGAGTCTAATCACAAGTGGTACACTGAATGTGTATGATGACTGCATTTAGTGTATAGGTATAAGTGGTATTATATAGCTTCTACTTTAGCCCAATTAGTGAAAATGCTTAATCCTGAACCAGAAGAGGAGTGGAGTTTGACTGAAGCCTCATACTGTGCTCCTTTGTCAATTCAAGAAACGATCTGGTTTAAGCCGAAAGATATACAATCCATTTTTGTATAACACTCTAAAAATGTGAGATTCCTGGAGGAAAGTTCTAGCCCTAGATATCTCAACCATGTCCACTTTTACATATCAAAAATGGTTCCCACCAGGAAATGAGACAGGCTTTACACGGATGGCTGGCAGCATGTTTATTATCCCCTTTATCTTGGGTAAAAAATTGGGAAGTTATCAAAAAACAGACTGCAGAACAAAAATCAGGGGGTAAGATTTCTTGATATAAATATCTTCAAATTAGGAACATGATAATTACCCTCAGGACCTCTGGGTTTTTTGATAGTTTGCTTACATCTTTTGAAATTATGACTAGTAAAGAAACAAAACTAAAAAAAAATAGGTCTCTTCGATTTACAGGGTGCTTGTTATGTCTACCCACACAGGTGTTATACCATATCAAACCAAATGGAATTGGGTCCTGGGGATAAATCTTACGGAATGTAATCAGAATTTGGAATTCCCCTTCAAATAAATCTAAAATATGTAATATTGGACTTCAGTTTTACAAATTGGTTTCAAATTGGTATTTATCTCCTCACAAAATTCATTTGATGAATAAATTTTTTAACCCAAATAGCTGGAAACAATGTAATCAAGTAGGGACTAATTTCCATAACTGGTGGAAACGTTTTGGAAAGAAGTTCACAGGACAATCTGTGAATTTGTGAACTTTTTTCTTCCATATTAGCTGGCATTTCTTCTACTAGATTTTTTGGCACACCTACAGCTTCTAAAACAACTGAAAAATTTTACTTCAACATTAATGGCTGCGGCTAGATTGGCCATCGCTAAAAAGTGGAAGTCCCTTTTGGATTCCAGATTTATAATTGGCAAGTAAATTTATGGGAGCAATATATTATGGGGAAGAGTATGAATAACCCCTTCTTCTGACTCTTCCTTGGTATGGGGACATTTTGATTACAAGGAAACATGTGAACCAGTCATAAAATATCTCACTGACAAGAGAGTTATCCCTTCTTATCAGCAGATTAGCATATCATTGAAATTATACAAGGATAGGAGATTTGCATAAATTATGGAATTATCTCATTTTAGGTAGTTTTATGATGAAATTGTTTTTAATTTAAATGACATTTTGATGTTATGCATTTTCTTATTTAATTAACAAAATTATTATACCAATAAAATAGAATGGCAAATCATGACATCTTTAAAACAGAGGCTGTTGGTAACTGTGCAGTGTTTGCAAACCTGTGCTTTTAATCATATGTCCAGTTAACATTCACTGAATGCTGGCTCCAGCGATCTATTCTGGCTGTTTGAAGAACATCTTCACACAACCCTGATTGATTGATTGAGTAACCATTTATGTAGTTAAGCATTTTAAGGCTGCTTTTTTCCCTAGAGGGACACAAATGGGCTTATAAAAAGGTGAAAAAAGTAAACAGATAAAGAAAACAAACAAACCTGCCCTGGTCCAGATCCACCATGCTGACTATTACAGGTCCCAGACTGTAAGCCCCTGCACAGCTGTTTTTCATGCTATTTTGTGGTCCCTTTACAACTTTAAAGTTTAAAGGAACTGCACAAGACAGTGCAAAATAGCTGCACAGTGAGAAACGCACAGCTGTTTTTCGGGCTGCCTTCTAAAGTACCTTTAAACTTTAAAGGGGCTGCACAACATAACCCGAAACAGCTGAGCGGCCATTTTTTGGGCTTTCTGCAAACCCTGTTGAAAGGAACTGCAGTCCCTTTCAGTGGGGTTTGCAGGGCCACAAACCAATTTGGTTTGTGGACAAGCTTGCCGGTTCAGTTTGGTTTGTGGTTCGGTTTGTGGTTCAGCCATGAACCATGAATTGAACTGCATTTTCCCATTTTGTGTCCATCCCTGAAGTCTTGTATGGTAGTTTCTGCTTTTGTTATTTAATAGTTTTTTGATCTCAGTGGTTAAGAATGGTCAGTTTTATCACAGTTGATTTTAGAGTTCTAAGGCACCACAGCTTGGACTCCTCTTGTGTGGTCCTAGGTTTTTCATGTAAATCCTGGTGACAGTGGAGCTGCAGTGATTCCCATGCTGTAAGAGTTCAGCTAAAACAGCGTCTTAGACAGGATAACAAGTACCACAAATAAAATAGTATATTATTGTAATTGTAGGTTAGTAGAGAAGAGCTGAAACATAGTTCTGTAGGATTCAACTAGAGATTTCATAGTCAATAAGCCAATCAATTGCCTTTTGTTTAACTTTCTAGTGAAGCCATTTCCTCCCTTCAATGTTAAAGCAGAAATCACTAGGGAAGTGGGAACGCTGAATGTGAGCTGGAATAATCCAGAACTTCCTAAGAGTGATCTTCAGTTTCAGATCCGATATACTCTCAGTGGAACAGAAGTAACCTGGGAGGTATGCACAGACTTAATCCAAGGTAGCCCTTGAATCTGTAGACTGCAATGGTATTCTGTGGCCAGTTAATTAAAACTTGTAATTTAATGATGTATAAGAAATTCCTTTGATTATTTAACATTCAGTTTGTCTTGCAAAAGAAATACTTGTGGTAAGAGCCCTTTCCCCTGGATTTATTTAGTAGGAGCAGAAGTCTGTTCAATATTTAAAATCTTAATCTGTCACTCATAAATGATTACATTTGTCATTGCACTAGGCCTTGTTACACTAGGCATTATTGCTTTCTAAATTTACAGATGCATGAAGTTTCTGCTGTATCAGGAAGCTGTGCCAGTATAGAAGTCCAGGATCCCTGTGCAGTTTACATTGTTCAGGTGCGCTGCAGTGTCCTTGATGGAGTTGGCTACTGGAGTGATTGGAGTAGACCTGCATATACAGTTGTTAAGGATATAAAAGGCAAGTTTAATACCATATGCTTTTGGCTGTTTCCCCCCTTTTAACTCAAATGCATATAAACAAATAGGTAGTTGTTTTACTTCTTACTTTTTTCAGCTCCTTTGAGAGGACCCGAATTTTGGAGAATTGTTAATGAAGATCTAATAAGGAAGCAGAAAAACGTTACTCTGTTTTGGAAGGTACATGGGTGATGTCGGATTTGATGGGGTAGGAGAGTGACAAATCACATTTTTGTGTGATGATCATCATGTTGTGTCCCATAATACGACTGTACTGGATTTAGCTGGGTAGAAGTGCACATGATCCAAAACAATAGGCAGGTAATTATTGTTAATAAAACCAGTAAAATTAAGGTTTGTAGTAAGCAAGGTTTTGTGAATGCCTCCTGAAAACATCAGTTTAAACCTTGCACAGAAAACTGATGTTTAAAATATTTTTAATTTTTATTAGATTTATTAGGAGATAGAAGTAGTAGAATTATAAGATTGTCAAAGTTATGACAACAGTTATAGGAAACATAATTTCACTGCAAATATAGTTTGCATTCTTACTGATAAAATGAGGTAACCTTTTAAAATTTTAGTCTGTTCAACCCACCCCCACCCAGAAAAAATTGTCTAATATGCAGTGATTCTTTTTGCAGCCGTTAGTGAAGAGTCTTGCCTTATGCAGTGTACTTGAATATGTGATAGAGCATACTACTTCGGAAAACATTACTTGGTCTGATTATGTAGAAAATGATACTACCTATACATTTCCATGGACAGAGGATGTTCACACCATTAAAGTTATTGCTGTCAACTCAGTTGGAGCTTCTACTGTGAATTTCATTATAACCCTCTCACAACAAATGAACGCAGGTAAGAGTAACATATTAGTGGACCTCCTAGGCTTAACTTTGTATCTGTAAGGACCACCATGTCTTTATTCTGCCATCTGCCTTGCATAGGACCAGTGTCTTGTGTTTAGTGCTGGAGAGTGATTTGACGAACTGCTATCTTTCATGTTCACAAAGGGAGAATACTAATTTTCCCTCTCCTTTGTCACAGCAATGTGGTGCAACCTGAAAACCAATTTTGTATCCAGCACCATCTAACCTAATCAAATTAGTCTGTTGCACTTCCTGGTTTCCATTTTAAGACTACAGCGGCAGACTTCAGGCTTCTTTATACTGCCTGTTTTTTCATTGCTAATAGTTTTAAATACTTTATTGATTATATACTGCCAACTGGTTGATAATTTTAAGGATTGTCAAGGTTTTGTTGCTATTATATGCTTTTATTTATTTTACTTTAATACTGTATAATCGTGTCACTTTCAGTGGGTCCAGAAATCCATAGTAAATTCTTTCCCCCCCATTAAAAATTACCATTATTTTATGCCAGTGTCTATATAATTAGTGAGCCACAAATGATTTCTGTATTTTATAGCAACGGGCAGAGCAATCCTGCATTGCACCTGTGCTGAGGCGGCTGGTGGTGCAGCAGCAGTGCCACTAGTTGTCTCCCTAAGGGGATTGGTATATGGTGGCCAATTAGGAAAAAGTTACCCACCCCAACAGTGTTGACGGCATTGTTCGTGGCAGGGATGGCACGAGGGGCAGGCACAACCAATGGGAGTCAGGAGGCCAAGCCAAGCCTCTATCACTGGCTGGGGGGAGAGAGGGCAGAGAGAGGCAGGCCACAGGAGCAACCCTCCCCCTCTATCACACCCCCCCTTAAAGAGACCAGCTTCTTTTTACAAATCCCAGCTACCTGTCAGGGGAGGAGGACATTACCTACCAGCCCCGCAGGCACTCCATAGTGGCACTCCACACACAGAGTGTCCAGGGCTGCAGAAGGTGACGACAGACAAGTATGTGGATGTGAGGGTGACCCCTGCTGACTGTTGGCCGTGGCAGCCAGATGGATGCCCATGCCATTGACAGTGTCCCTGTGCCAACCCACATGCCACCTCTGCTGGAGGCTCAGCAGCAGGAGGGACGGGGGTGCCAGGGACCCCAGAGACTCAAGAGAGGTCTACCAGCAGCCTCTTGATGTGCCCTGTCCCTCACCCACATCCCTTGCTATGGCAAGAAGCCCTCCCATATGCCCAGCAGCCACCATTACAGATGCTGCCAGCTCCTCTATCAATTCTTGCCCCCTGGAAAATGCTTCTTGTAACTTGTGATGTCTCTCCAGCTGCTCCCACTTGGAGGAAAGGGTGGACAGGCTGGGCTGTACTGGAATCATGCCCTGTGCCTGGGGACCGGGCAAGGGGCCAGGATCCCCTCCCTCCTCCAAACCACCAGCAGCCATGACACCTGGCCCAGGGGCAGCTGCCCCACCCCTACCACCCTGCCCCCCATTTGCCAGGGCAGGGCCACTGCCATCTGAAGAAGTTGAGTCTGTCCTCTGCGTCACCTCCTCCTCAGGTGCCAGGGATCCTAGCATGCCAAGTGTCAGCAGGACCACAGAAGTGGTTGTTGCCATACTCCTCCTCGGGATCATGGTGCATAGTCACAAAATAAGCAGTGAATGTCAGGGAATAGGGACCTGGGCATAGGGGGAAAACCCAGCAGTCAGTCCATGGGAGGTCCAAGGTGGCTGCTAAGCCCTTGCCCCCTGCCCCCCCGAAGGCACCTCACCTCAGCCTGGCCATCTCGGTCCTTCTTTCCTTCATTTATCTCCATCTTGTCCTCACTAGACGCAGGGATGTGGGTCCTTGGCGAGGGATCCCAGGGGTGTCATAGGAGCCCCCGGCTGTGAAGATGGGGGTATGATGATGGCACAGTGGCCCTCCCCCTTGTGGGCAGGGGTTGATACCTGACTGCTTTGGCTGCTACTGCATCCTGGCCCTTCCATGCTGTCCTTGGATGAAGGACCTCCAGTAGCACTCCTATCCTGCAAGTCACCTGAAGGGTGGAGGGACATCAGTCAGGAAAATGGAGGTGGTAGAAGGCAGCGGGTGGGAGGAACTAGCCCCCACAGCAGGGGCCAGGTGGTGGTGGCAACTATGACACTTGGTAAAAAGGAACTCAAGGCCACAGCCACCCACCACCATGGGGGGGTATCACTGCCTGCATGATGGCCTCTGCTCCTGGCAGACCCTCCTTCACCACTTGCTCATAAGGAACACCTTTGCCATGAGGGCTCAGACATGCTTCTGAGCAGGATCGGAGGAATCGTTCCAGCTCTTCAGAGTGTACATCTCCATCTGGATGGCAAGTCCCAGGGCAGACACCCGTTTTGCGGCCATGCACTGGAAGGCATGGCACAGGGAGGTGTTGGAGCTGCTTCTGGCAGTGGCAAGGGCAATGCTTCCATGCTTCACCACCAACCTGTACAGCAGTGGCTTTTTGACCTTAATCCAGTTTGGTTAGTGATGGCTGTCCCTGCCACCATATATTGAAGTGTTCATGCCACCCACACACAGGGAAATGTGGAGGCAGGCCACCCCACTGTGAAAAAACTCTGATCCCCTCATCCTGCCCTGACCCCCCATAATCACACCATGGCACCCACCGCAAGGTGGCTGTGGGCTGTGGGCAAAGAGCAGCTCAAAGAGGGGATAGGTTGCATCTGGGGGAAAGGGCAGTGGCCACACTGAGGAGTGTGGCTCTGGCTGCCTGCCACCTTGATCACAGTCCCCTTTTCCTGCAGGGCCAGGTGCTGGCAGGATGGTGCCCACTCCTGCCCTTACCTCCCATGCTTGCAGTGCACCAGATTAAGTTGCTATAAGTGCTCTATGTCTGGGTCTCTCTATAAGGGAGTGTATCAAATACAACATATAAGAACCTCCTGAGACCTTCACTTCCATCTGGCAAGATTTCTTGTATCTGTTCACCACTTATAGCTTAGTGGGATCCATGCCTCTCACCCCCCTGGCCCCATTTTAACCTTTATTCCTATCTGCCTCTATTAATTCAGCTTTTAATTCCTTATTTTGTTAATGGGCTATGTTGGGAAAGAGGGGGAGGAGAGGGTGGATGGTAGGGTAACAAGAAGTTTGTTGTTGTATTTACTATCCTATGTGGAAAAGCAATAAAGATCCTTAATGGGGAAAAAACAAGAAATTGCTAAAAGAAAGATAAGCAAATTAAATAGGATTGACCTCACTTTTGACAACATAGAGTCCTTAACAAGAATAAATGTTAAAAGCTCCACAGGAATGGATAGTTTTGTTGATTTATACCAGATAATTGTGTACCTCCCTATTGTGATTTGTTTAATTCTCCAGGAATTAAATAATAATGAAATTGAAATTGAAAACTGTGCCTGCCATTCTTTTGCAAAGCGAACCAATTAGTTCTCTGTAGGGACTTAATGATTTCTTTTTGTTTTTGTTAGTAAATATTGTGAAGTCTCTTAGTGCCTATCCAATAAACAGCAGTTGTGTAATTGTGTCCTGGATGCTTTCACCTGCAATATACATTGTTACATCTTTTGTTATTGAATGGACCAACCTAAATGAAGAACAAATTAAATGGATAATGGTTCCTTCGCATATTAGGAAATGTCATATTTATGGTGAGTATGTATGGCTATTTTTCTATGTTACATAAGAACATAAGAGAAGCTATGTTGGATCAAGCCAATGGCCCATCCAGCCCAACACTCTGAGTCAAACAGTGGCCAAAACCCAGGTGTCATCAGGAGTGAATCAGAACTCTGGAAGCCCTTCCACTGTTGCCCCACCCCAAGCACCGTGAATACAGAGCATCACTGCCCCAGACATACTGTTCCATCTATACCTTGTGGCTAATAGCCACTGGTGGAACACCACTCCATATATTTATCCAATTCCCTCTTGAAGCTGATAATGCTTGTAGCCACCACCATTTCCTGTGGCAGTGAATTCCACATGTTAATTACTCTTTGGGTGAAGAAATACTTCCTTTTATCTGTTCTAAGCCCACTGTTCATTAGTTTCATTGAGTGCCCATGGGTTCTTGTATTGTGAGAAAGGGAGAAAAGTACTTCTTTCTCTACCTTCTCTATGCCATGCATAATTTTGTAAACCTCTATCATGTCACCACTCAATCGTAGTTCCTCTGAGCTAAAGAGCCCTAACCTCTTTAACCTTTCTTCATAGGGAAGGTGTTCCATCCCCTTAATCATTTTCTGCACCTTTTCCAATGCTATATCTTTTTTGAGGTGCAATGACCAGAAACAGTACATAGTATTCCAAATGCAGCCAGACCATAGATTTATACAGGGGCATTATGATACTGGCTGATTTGTTTTCAATCCCCTTCCTAATAATCCCCAGCATAGCATTTGCTGAATCGACATCTTCAGTGAGTTATTCACCACATTCCAAAATCTCTCTCCTGGTCAGTTACCGCCAGTTCAGACCCCATCAATATCTTTATACTTAGGATTTTTGGCTCCAATGTGCATTACTGTGCACTTGCCCACATTGAACCTCATTTGCCATGTAGATGCTCACTTGCCTAGCCTCAACAGATCCCTCTGGAGTGCCTCACAGTCTTCCCTAGTTCTCACTGCCCTGAAAGACTTAGTGTTATCTGCAAACTTAGCCACTTCACTACTTACTTCCAACTCTAAAAATTAATGAATGGGTTAAAAAGCACTGGACTTAGTACTGTGTTACTCCCCTTCCCCCTTCCACTGTGAAAACTGCCCATTTATACACACTCTCTTGTTTCCTATTAATTAACCAGTTTTTAATCCACTAGAGGACTTGTCCTCTTAACCCCACACTGCTGAGTTTACTTAGGCGCCTTTGATGAGAAACTTTATCAAAAGCTTTCTGGAAATCTAGGTAAACAACATCTACTGTGTCACCCTTGTCCGCATGTTTATTCACCCTCTCAAAGAACTCTAAAAGGTTAGTGAGACAAGATCTTCCCTTACAGAATCCATGCTGATTTTTTTCTCAATAACGTTTGTCCATCAATGTGCCTACTAATTTCCCAGATCTCTTCTGGAACCTTTTTTTAAAAGATGGGAGTTGCATTAGCTAACTTCCAGCCCTTGGGAATGGAGGCAGATTTTAGTGATAAACTGCATATTTTTGTCAGGAAATCCACAAGTTCACATTTGAGTTCTTTGAGAACTCTTGGATGTATGCCATCTGGGCCTGGTGATTTGTCAGTTTTTAATTTGTTCATCAGTTGTAGGACCTCCTCTCTCATCACCTCAATCCGACTCAGGCCTTTCAATACCCCTCCTGAAATCGGCAGTTCTGGAGTGGGCAAGCGCCTCCCATTTTCCACACTGAAGACAGAGGCAAAAAATGCATTCAGCTTCAGTTTTAGTCTCCAAGTTTCCCAAAGGGATTTGACTCTCCTCACCTTTCCTTTCAGTTTCTTCTTCACAAGCCCCCTCATTTGAGAGAAGTCAGTCCTTCTAAAATTAAATGTGGTTGTGTTGGTTTTTTTGGGCAACTTCCTATTTACATAAATGCTAAACTTGATACTACTATGGTCATTGTTCCCAACCGGTGCTATCACATTTACATCTCTCACCAGGTCCTGAGTATCACTTAGGACCTAGTCCATGATCGCCTCCCCCCTGGTAGGTTCTGTGACCATCTGCTCCATGGCATAGTCATTGAGAGTATCTAGAAACCTAATCTCTTTCTCCTGACCTGAATGTGTGGGTACTTAAAAATAACCTATTATGACACAGTTTTTTGGCTAACTGCTTTCCTAAATTCTTTTGTTGTTTTTAAATCATCCTCTAACCTTTGATCTGGTGGGAAATAAGAAGCTCCCAGAGTTAAGCTACCTTGATCCCACTACTTCCACCCATAGCCTTTCTTTAAGCGAATCTATTTTTCTTATATTATCAATTTTAATGGACTGGATAATCTCTCACTCCACCTCCAACACTTCCTTCCCTATCCTTCCAATATAATTCATGTAATAAGGAATCACTTATTATTCTCATCCCTCCAAGTTTCTATGGTTCTCTGACACTAAGCATTCCAGCTCCCTCATTTTACCCCAGACACCTCTAGCATTTGCATATAGACATCTATAATCTCCCAGACAAATTAGGTCTGCAACATTCCTCCTGTGACCTCTAGACCTTGCCAGGTAGTCAATAAAGTTACAAAATGTTGGTACCTAAAGGTAATTTTTAAATTATTTGTCCTCCTTAATGTTTTAACTTTTCACTTAGCCTATCTTGATAGAACTTTATGTTAAAATTTAGTGTGTGTGTGGGTGTGTATGCCACTTATCCTCTCCTTGCTCATCTGCTAAACTTGCCTATTTATTGCCTTGTTCCAGACACTTTGGCACTGGAGCTGGACACTTTGGCATTGGAGTGGGGCCTGCTACCTTGCAGAGCTGGGGCAAAATGTTCTAATGTATTACCACAGAACTTAATACTGTAGTTATCAAAAATTCCTCAAGCTGGTTTTACATTGGGTAGTTGTAAAAAACACAAATTACCTAATCAACAGATTCTGCAGTTCTTTTTGGTGTTCTATTCATCTTCTTCATTTCATGCACAAAGTAAGGATCTCTCTTCTCCTACAACTAACTGAAAATATGCTGTTTTTCTATTCCAGATAATTTCATTCTAATTGAGAAATACCGCTTTAGTGTGTACCCAATAATTCCTGAAGGAGTCGCTAAGCCCACAGTGACAGAGGGTTTTTTCAAAGGTAGCCTATTCTGGGTGTTTTTAATATATTGCTTCATTAAGTGAAATTTTTTGTTTTAGCTCTATCAAAGTATAAAATTGGAGCCCCTCACAGTAGGCCGAATGGCCCCATACCTATCTGGTATACAAGCACCGCAACAGCGTAGAGCCTTTTCTCTAGCAAGATTCAATGTAATACCATCAAGAATCTTGTATGGGAGATATAATATCATAATATATGTGGATAGACTTTGCCATTGCATCTCTGGATGCATTGAGATGTTTCGCATATTTGTTTGCATTGTCAATTTTATGTGGATATACATTCTAGATATTTAAATCCTATCTTGGCCAACATAACAAACCTTCCTGATGCTTTAAAAGTTCACCATCTTCTAAATGACTCTGTTCCGGGAATATCAATTAGCGTAGCCATGTTTTTACAATTAGTGATAAAGCTACGCCAGGAAAACGACCAAATGAATAATTGTTTTATATAACATGATGCAATATTATGTAGTTGGTAAAATGCTCGGCTCTATATGTATGGTTCTATATGGTTTTATAAATATATTTCTTTTATAGTAATCCTCTTTTAAGTTATTTTATGCAAATAAAGGCTAACTGAACTGAACTGATTTTTTAATAAAAATGAAAGTACATCTTTATGCGTATGCAGCAAAACAAAATTGGTATTTTTCGTATCCAGATACATTGGAGCAAAAACCTATTGTACTCCCAGTTTTCAAATACTGATATGGCATTCAGTTTTTGTGTGTGTGTGTGGGATTTTCCTATATTTTTCAGTTCCATTATTTCCTATGTGGAATATTTCTATGAGGCTGTGTGTTTGTTTGTGTTTTAAAATAAAATTGCAGGGAACTGCTGATGCCTTTCCTTCAAATAACCTCCAAATTTCAAGACCTAAGTTGCCTCCTCCTTGTAGCATTGTTGTATCTGGCTCGAGGTTTGCCAAGAGCTTTCTTGGGGGCAGTAAGAGGTGAGAGATGTGAGGGAGAGTTGGTCTGAGGGAGTGGTGATGTGGTGGACATTTCTTCAGGTTGATGAGGGAGGCATGCATTGAAATGGCTCCTAGAAAGGTCCTTTACTATCTCCCCATGACCATTCATAAACTCAATTGCCATGCTGGCTGTTCAGGTGTGTATCTGTAAGCTGCAAACCTACAATGACGCAGCAGCAGCAGAACTGGAAGAAGAAGTTGAAGACAGCCAGTTCCACTGCGGGCCTGATAGAAGCCCTCAGGGGGCCTGATCCGGCCCCCGGGCCACATGTTTGACGACCATGATGTGATACCATCCTGTGTAAACTATTTCCCCAGTTAAGGCTGGAACCATGTTCATGCCTATTTATGAATACACTATATTGAACTCATTGTTACTTGTTTCTAAGTAAATGCAGGATCATACTACATGGCTAATTTCACAAATGAGCTAAACTTGTACAACCCTTTTTAATTTGGGGAGATAGTGTTGCTGCTGTTGCAAGGTCTGGCAGATCAGTTGTTGCAAACTGAGGTGGAAGTGGTGTTGCAGGCTGCATTCCAACTTGCTTACTTGAGGGTAAAACCTATTCAACTCAATGGAACTTAGTTTCAGATAGATCTTCCTGAAATTATACAGCATATATTCTATGTTGGTATATTTGCCATACTGATTATAACTATTTTGAACAGTTGCCTCTTATTTTCAGGTGGGATTGAGAAACAGAATCACATGAACTTCTATGTCATTCTTCCTCTAGTAATTATGTGCTTAGTTCTCCTGCTTGGAGCTCTTCTGATGTTGCACCAAAGGTAAAGCTTTCTTAGATGTGTTCCCAAGTGGATAAAGCCTTTGAACTTAAATATAAACATCTATAGGGTTATGTTGTCGAAGGCTTTCATGGCCAGAGTTCATTAGCTGTTGTAGATTTTCCGAGTTGTATGGCCATGGTCTTGGCATTGTAGGACGTGACGTTTCGCCAGTAGCTGTGACTGGCATCCTCAGAGGTATAACACAGAAAGATGGAGTACTCTCTGTGTCAAGGTGATGCAAGGTGATACTTCTGAGGATGCCAGTCACAGCTAAAGGTGAAACGACAGGTCCTACAATGCCAAGACCATGGCCATACAACCTGGATAATCTACAACCTCCCCCATGATCTTGCACTTTTTTCTTTCTGTAATGTATAAAAAAACCCCAATCAGCTGCTAAATAAATAGGATGAAGCAGAAAAACAAGAAACATCATAGAGAACAGGTCTGAAGTAACTGAACTATGGGTACTATATAAGTGCAAGATCCTATTAGAATAGACGTAAAATACTATTACAGAAGAGTGTTTCCAGGAACTTTCCATTTATTTATTTAGTTGATTGGTTCTTTTCTCAAGTGTGTCTCCAAGATCTATTCAAGGGCTCAGTTTGGATTTGGATAATAATGTACAACTTTACTTGTGAAAATCCTGTCTGTTATGCTAAAGATGAGTGTCAAGGAGCTGAACAGGCTGACCCCATGAGTTTCCAAGGCAAAAGCACACAAGTAACCAGACTGATGTTATTAAAAATTAGGGTTGCCAAGTTCTTTTTCTTCTGCGGCGGGGGGCTCCTGGACGGCGTCTTCAGCGAGTTCATAGAGTTTTCCCCTCAGATGGCTGTGGCCCCACCCCCAGCGTGCCTGGCGTCATCACGTCACCTCCGGCTGACGTGCATGCCGGGGTGGGGTTTCCCCCGGGGCCCGATTCCGCGGCGGCAGAAATCAGGCCTCCAAAGCGGGGGGAAATCTGCCCCCCGGGGGGACTTGGCAGCCCTATTAAAAATATTTATAAAATGTATTGAAAGAATAGACAAGTTAATATGCATATAACCAACAGATTAACAAAAGTAACACAGAACAATAAAGTTCGCTTTTATCTACCTAACGCTTACACCCAGATGCAGGCTTCAAATTAGAGTAGCAATTTGCCAAGCATAGATTCAGACCTCTGTCCATGAAGTCTCAGAAAGTATCCCTGGCCTGTGGGTGGGGGGAGATATTGTAATCATAGTTTTTGACCCCTCAAGTCAGGTGATGGTGACATCCAATCCTTCTAACACGCCTTCAGGAGAATTCTCCAGAATCTTACATCATCGCTCCTGATTTTACTCCTCCGAACACTAGAAACACGTTCTCATGAGAAGCTAATGCCTCAGGCCTTGGCAGGCCAAACCTCTTAATTAATGACACCTGCAAGAAAGAAGAAGAAGAGATTGGATTTACACTCCAAAGAAGTCTTAGAGCGGTTTACAATCCCTTTCCCTTCCCCTCCCCACAACAGACGCTCTGTGATGTAGGTGGGGCTGAGAAAGCTTCCTCAAAAACTGCCCTTGAGAGAACAGCTCTGAAAGAACTTATGACCAACCCAAGGTCACACCAGCAGCTGCATGTGGAAGAGTGGGGAATCAAACCCGGTTCTACCAGATTAGTGTCTGTGCTCCTAACCACTGCATCCGACTGGCTCTCAGAAAGAGCCAGGCCAGTTATCTACACATTAACCCTTGAGGGGAGGCAAGAATGATGCTTTGCCTCACAATGAGTTATCTCACTGTTTCTTCTGGAATTTTGTTAGGACTCCTCTTAACCTACCTAAGATGCATTCCTAAGCAGAGTTACAACCTTTAGAAACCATTGACTTCAGTGAACTTAGAAGGATGTAATTCTGCTTAGGATGGCACTATTAATGCTTGATCTGTATGTATGTGTTTACCTGTTGTTCTTTTATCCCTTAAACACTAGCTAAGATTCTTGACATCTAGTTAAATCAAGACAACATATACAGCATGCTGATAAATCCCAGAAAAAATAATTATATGAAGGATTTTCATATTTGTGGTCTACAGAGCAGAAGAGTATTATGTTGTAGTATTGAGGATTTCAATAGCAATCTAATTCTGTAGAAGTCAGAAAGCAGTTGTGGCAAACTGTTACACAACTTACGCAAATTCAGCATTGTGGGGAGGGCTTTTAACATGCAGGTATGGATGCAGTGATCTTAAAACTGCTGAAGCATGCCTCAAAAAATGAACCTTACCTCTGTTGTCACTGGGGTTAAATAAAAACTGATTTCTGTTAATGAAATACATCTTCACATGAAGAGTAATAATATGCACTAGTGTGACTAATATAAACACTTTATTTGACATTTCAGAATAAAAACACTATTCTGGGATGATGTCCCAAACCCCAAGAATTGTTCCTGGGCACAGTCAGTAAATTTCCAAAAGGTATGGACACCCATCTTGATGTATTCTTTTTATGATTTCAATGCTTTGTGTTTAAATTCAATTTAAAAACAATTAATTTGCTAACTAGAAAAAACTATAACGAACAGTTATAAAAGTACCAACATTTTGTCATAGGCCTGAGACTCCTATAAATAAAGGGGTAAGTGGGAACCTGGGATGCTCTATAAAGCCAGTGGGTTGGATCCAGCAATGCATAAATGGAAAAAGAAATCTACTCAGCACAGTTCCACTTGCAGAAGGGATTGTACAATATCTTGTGAAATATCTCTCACTTGCATTCTAATTTGCTCACATACTCAATGACATACACATGCACAATCTTGTGCAGTAGTCTCTATCTCCCCCTACTGTACCTCACGGAGCCATTTTTGAAATGAAGAAGCTGCTAGGTTCACTTCCTGAAAGTCTAGGTTGTACAATACCTTGTGTGCATAAAGTGCTGTCAAGTTGCAGCCGATTATAGTGACCCCAGCAAGGGGCTTTCGAGGCGAGTGAGAAGCAGAGGTGGTTTGCCATTGCATTCCTCTGCAGAGTCTTCCTTAGTGGTTTCCCTTCCAAGTATCAACCCTGCTTAGCTTCCGAGGTTTCATGAGATCAGACTAAACCATGCCAACTTCCCTCCTATACAATATCTTATACAAGCAGAAACACAAGTGTGTATATTAACTCAGTGCAAGCAGCTACTTTGGGCTTTATCTTGCATTGCCCCCCAAGATGGAATAAAGAGACAGAGGCAAGAGTTGGGTTAACTAACAGGGCTACTTTATTAACTGTCAATTACAACTGAAAAAACAGCAAGGGCAGAACAATGCATTGTGGGATGGTCAAGGCCAGGGGTCCACCAAGATCCCTCCCTTGCCATGCAAATAGGGCAAGCCAGCCTGCTCCGGGTGGGAGCCCCCTAATGTGGCTCACATATGGCCAGAAGCCTTCAGGTACTCACCCTGGAACTCCATCCACCAAACCACAAAACTCAAGGGGAGGATCTATCCAGGGCAGTCCTGTAGGCAGTCTGCTTTCCCTGCCCCGGGCCCAAGAGCTGTACCTGCGAGACCACCTAGACACCAAAGGGGGAGTGTCCGCTGGCACTCACCATTATGCAATCTATAACCAATACCACCCTGCCACCACAAAGGCCAAGTCTCTGCTTAGGCCCCTGCGCCCATAGGGAGGCCCAAGACCCCCCTGCAGCCCTTGCCAAAGGTCATCCAAAAGTATGTCCATACCCAACTCTGACAAATGTACCCCATCACTCCTATACATGCTGACGTTGCCAGCACTTATTTTTCGGTGAGGCAAAAACTGGCCCCCACCCCCTTCCAGAAATCTTTGAATCTCCCAATTGGCTTTGTGGTGCGCTCTGTCATTGTTCAAAGGGTTTTCGGCCCAACACCAGACCAAGTGGGGCACCCTGGCGGACCACACAATCAGTGTTTCTGGCCACCACTGCTTAATGATCTGAAAATCCGCCTGAGACTGCAGAATCAATGCTTTACCTTTAATCAGGCCCAAATCATTGCCGCCAAGATGAACAATGAGCACCTGGGACAGAGAACCAACCCTAGTCTCAAACAACAACTGCATAAGGCCAGGCCACTGCAAACCCCAGCATCCTAGCCACTCCACCATGGCTCACTGACTGAGGCCCAACTGTGAACTGCTGGGCATCCGCTGTGCTCTGTGTGCGGTCCAAAAAACAAAACTGTGCCTGCGGATGAGAACACTCTTCCTCTCATGCTGGCCAACAGGATCTGAAATGAAAGAACAGTAAACAATGGAACAGACAAGCACCAAAACCCAAACTTGGACGAAATAACCAGAAAATCAAGGCCCAGCCATTGGACACACATAAGCCTTGTAAGCTGCAGAATGCTATCTACCCACACACTGAATGTCCCAGGGAGAATAACCCATCGCAGCTGCTGTAGACGTGGCACCTATCCAAAAACAATGGGTACAAAAACGCACCGCTGACAGGCCAAGCTTATTCAAGGCATTAGAAGTGACCACGCAAAATTGGTGGTTCGTTAAGGGGCTGGTATCCTGATGGTGGAAGAATAGGCCACCCTCAAACCCCCAGATGGCCACATAGGCCGCCAACATGGAAACCAGGCACGGCTCTTTTTTTGAGCATTCACCCAATGTAAACACTGTCCCTAGCTACTGCTGGTCCGTTTTAGAGTACCACAAAGTAATGTAAGCCTTATCCCCAACTAATCGTAAACCCTGCACCGTCAGAGCATGACCTGACCTATCTGTTTATTACTGGGCCACTAGCTCACTTATTTTGAAGGCCTCAAAAAATGCGACCAGTGCAGCTGCATGAAACAAAGAGGCCTCATAAGGGGATTCACACACGTCCCTCCACTTAGCTTGCAGGCCCACAAGAACTGTGGGTGAAATAGGCTGCCTAGGGTCACTTCACATCCCAGCTTCCCGTGCCCAACCCTCCAACATTCTGCGAATCCGGAAATCTCCCCTAAACTCCGCAAACCCGCGGGCTTTGCTTGTGAAAGCTACCGTGACTAGAAGCCCCATTATGGTGCTAACAGCCAAACCCCTACCTCTTAACTCAATGCAAAAATGCAACAAGTGGTTGTGAAAAGTACGCAGACGGAGAGTGAGTTCAGCAAAGCGTACTTTATTCAGTCAGGAACAAGACACTTTAGCCGGCTCGCAGGCCGGCTTATATTCCCCCCAGAAACCGCCACCCCAAACACCCCCCACTTCCCAATAGGTTATTTACAGTGGCCGAGAGTTCCATTGGCTTCTCGGCCAGGAACCTAGCCCCCTAATTGGAGCGGGCTAGGATCCTCATAGTCCATTGTCTCTAGGAGCGATGCTCATGGTTGTCCCTGGACATGTCTGGACTTGTCTGGACTTGTCAGGACTTGATACACTACAGGTTGACTGGCACTGGCCATGAACTGGGATACCCTACCTCATCTCTAAACTCAGCCAACTGACACGGTCATAAGCCTGCTTCATGCCTGGAGCAATGGCTAACCTCATCGCCCTGTGTACCTCTGCCTTCCAGCCAACCAGAGCTCCAGTGGCATTTGTACCAGCTGCAACTTGGCTTCTGGGGCAAGCCGATGAAACCTCTCCATCTGTTTGTGTGAGAGAGTGTCAGCAACCCCATTGTCCACCCCCGGCACATGTCTGGCAAAAAACAGAATGTTGAGTTGCAGGCACCTGAGCATGGAGGCATGGACCAAGGACATAACCTGATGCGATTTGGATATGAATTAATGACCTGAATCACCACCAGATTCTCACACCAAAAATGAATGGTGTGATTGGCCAGATCACTTCCCCGCAACCACACCGCCACCAGGATAGGGAAAAATTCCAGGAAGGTGAGATCCCTGGTGAGCCCCGAGTCCACCCAGTCAGTGGGCCATACCTCAGTACATCACTGCCCATTAAACGAGTCCAAAAACTCTAGCCAAGTATCCAAATCTGCCCTGACACCTGCATTAAGTTGGATATGATTATGATTATGATTTATTAAACTTCTACCCCGCCCTCCCCACACGTGGGCTCAGGGCAGCTTACAAATGGTGAGGGAGCTGGATTCCCTTCATGGCATCACAAAGCCTGCGCAAAAAGGCGCGCCTGGGGGCCACCACTTTGCACGCAAAGTTGAGTTGACCCACCAATTGCTGCTCACGCAACATGGCTTTCTTTTTGCCTCTAAACTCCCTACCATTTACGCAATTCCTCCAACTTGCTGATGGGTAAATGGGAGGCCTGAATACGCGTGTCCAGCTCCACACCCAAAAAGGTCAAAACTTGGGCTGAACCTTCAGTCTTCTCGTGTGCAAGGGGCTGTGGGGAGTGGAAGCAAACGACAAACGGTGGACCAAATGGCCACTATGCAACCAGTCATCCACATTCAGTTGTGCTGGTGACATGACCTGCAGCCATAAATGGGGATGGATCTGATCCCACCACAGTGAAGTCTTCATGGCTGCCCTCATCCTGAACTCCTCATTGTACCGCATCCAGGCGGGGCCAGTGAAACCTGTGTAACCCTTATAAACAATGTCAAAATACTGAAACAAAGAAGCTGCCTTCCAGGGCTGCACCTTTGAAAGCACTCCAGCGTAAATTAGAAACCCAGCCACCCAATTAGCCCAGGTCCTATCCACCTTCATCCTCTTTCACTTTTCTTTTTCCTTATCCTCTGGGTCCTCCATATCCTTCTTCTCTAGCTTGCAGTAAAGAAGGGAGAAAACATCAATGTATTCACCCCTACAGATCTTTTCCCTGGTTGCTGGTAATAAGTGATCCCCAAGGGGGAGTGCCATATCCCCAAAAGCCAACAAAGCTGATGTGGGCACTGGTGCGTATGAGGCACCCCACAAGGATGGGGTACCCCCCAAGGGGTTATCGGCCCCATAGGAGACTGCCCAGGCATGCTGCCCCACGTTCCCTGAGGATCACACTGAGCATGATGGCTACCCTAGGGTTGATCGGGAGCCTGACCATATATAGGGGAAACAGGGCCAGTGGGCATGGGCCCCTGTGCCAACTGCTGCCCCCAGGACCCCCAAGGCCAGTTCCCCCCAGTGGTAAGGGTGTCCACAGACTTACCCGAAGGAACTGGTCTGCCAGCTGTGGATAACCCCTGCTCAGCTGCCACCTGCTGTTGCTGTGTGGAAGTCCCCGCTGCAGCACTGGTGCCATCATCCTGCTGGGCTGCTCCCTTGCCACCACTCCTTGTGGAAACCTGTGGTCTACTCTCAAGAAGAGACAAACGGGTCAGTACTTCAGCTTGGAAACACTTATTTGCCACTGAATGCATCTCCTCACACCCATGCGTTCCATCCCCGGTCCCTCCCCCATGGGGAGGAACCCCTGCAGCCTGATCCAGGGCATTCAGCCTATCTAATATGGCCTACTGAGCTATAGCCCCCTCTTTGTCCGCAGATGAGGACACAACGGGAACTGGTCTCTTGGTTGGAGCCCTGGGT